GGAATTCTAAGGACACTGGTCTGTTCTCAAAAATGTGATTTATGAAACACTGTCCAATTTCATTTTTTTAAACCTCTTGAGATGACACTATTTACAGTACATTAAAAAATTTAATATGGTTCGTTTATTTATTTATTTATTTTAGCAAAGTCTTATCACATAGCCTGGCCTGGAACTCACTCTGTAGACCAGGTTGGCCTCAAACTCACAGAGATTCCCCCTGCCTCTGCCTCTTGAGTGCTGGAATTAAGGGTATGCTGTTTTTGTTTGTTTTTCTTCTTTGCTATTTCAACTTTTGGTGTAATCTGGGAAATCATTTCCTAATTCCAAGTCTGAGAGCTTCACAGTTTTACCTTGCACATTAACTCACGTCCAGGATCTAGTTTGAGTTCATTTGTATACGGTGTGACTTAGGGACCCAACTTCACTCTTCTGCAAGTGGGCACAGGGTTACTTCAACAGAGACAACTAAGGAGTGTTCTCAGGAGGTGCCCAAACGCAGTCCAGACGGTGCTTCCTCTGCTGCAGAAAAGACACTACTCTGGCTGACTGACATGAGAGAATGAGCAGAGAATGCTGGGGGATGCTGACAGGATGCTTCCCTTCATACTTCAGACAAGCGCAACACACAGCTGAGCTTGGGGAAGAATAAAGAACCAGGCTCACCACTTGGTTCAGGCCAGAACTCCCAAAATGGCCTTCTGCCTATCTCAGACACTGACTGAACACCTAGTGTGGCTGGGAAGCACAGGAAGGGTCCAGCATCTGCAGAGTGGGCATGAGACCTGGGTTCAGATCCCAAAGTGCACTCGTAAACACGAGAGCATGCACGCATGCGTGCACATACGACAAAAATCTCATCCACGTTGTTGCTGTTGGAACACAGGCTAAAGATAAACCAAAAAATTAAGATATACACCTGTGTCTGACTAGAAAGTGAAACAGAACAAAAACAGGGGAAGATGCTGGGAGTGCCAGCACAGGTCAGAGTTCTATACCCGGGCAGAGGGTGACCCGAGAAAACCCATGGCCATCCCTTCCCTGAAGGATCAGATTCCGGACCCACCTTTAGCTCAGCACACAGCAGCTGTGGATCTGAGAACACAAATGCAGCTGAAACCTACCATATGTGATCCCAGGCCTGAAAGACTGGCCCAGGACACAATGATGGGGGAAGGGGAACAACCCAGGAGCCCATGTGGGTCCCCTTAGCTCTGGCATGGAAGGCAGCTGGTTCTCTCTTACCCAAGGACCTGGCAATCTTGTCATCCCTTAGATCTGAAGAGCTAGAAAAATGGGGTCCTGCAATCCCACGATCTAAGTGCTCATCTAGTTTTGCCTGATATCTTTCATCAGCATGTATAGGACTTATGACTGACAGTTCAACTCCAGCCTGGAGACATACCCAAGGTAATTAGTACCCACTTAGCCTTTTCCTACTTAGTAATTTATACAAATGGACTTGTTGGGATTATCAATAAAAATGATAGAGAGCTGAGCTAACAGTGCTCTAGCCTGAGGAAATCTATATAGCCCATAAAAATAACCAGAAGCAACAACAGTCATTATTGGAGCATTAGCTATCAATCAGATAGCAAGTGTGGCTTTGCACTATCTCATTTGAATTGTCTTTATAATATACATAGTTCAGTTTTGCAAACAAGAAAATGGAGGGGGAGACTTAGAAAGGGTTAAGTACCCACCGAAAGGCTACCACTTACTAAAGGGAATCTCTGTGAGCCTCAGTTCTCATATTTGTAGAATGGAGCAACAACACAATACCCAATGAAAAGTCATTGCTCGATTAGTTATCACATCTGGAATTACTGGGGGTTGTTCCTATTCTACAACAAGAAATGCCATTTTCTCCTGCTGTAAGCCACAGGTTCCAGGCACATCAGCTTTTTCCCACCCTAAACATTCCCATGTCTGTTTCATGCACTGGTATCTTTTTTGTAAGAGTTATTTTAATTTTGTGTGTGCTCATATATGCATGAGTGCAGGTGCCTTTGCCATTAAGAAGGCGGTATTGGGCCCTTGAAGCTGGATCCACAGGCAGTTGTGTGTTGTAGAAACAAACTCAAGTCCTTTATAGGAGCAGTGTGAGCTGAGACATCTCTCTGACCCTGAACAGCAGAATTCTCTCCCCAGCTTTTTAAGTTGAGGATCTGGAGCCACCAGAATGCCATACTGAGACCCTTGCCTGAAATCATTTCAATACTTTAAACCATTTCTCAGAACGACTTAGGAGCCAGGCAGCTCTATCTACTCCTTCTTTACCTGCCATTTACATGAATGCTGCCAGCAAAGTGGAAATACACAGGCTTATTAGTATTCCTGCCAATACTGGTCAAGTTTGCCTTTGCCAGTAAGTACTGGCAGGAATCTGTCCAACCACACAGGTACCCTCTCCACCCCCCCGAAAAACATTAAATTTACAGCTTTCAACTTGGAAGACTATAAAATGGGGGCAATTTAAATGCTGGAACAGTCTGAAAATTTGGGAGATTTGGGTGTTTGCCTGAGGGATGGAATCTGAGCAGTTCAAGGACACTGGGTTCTCAAAAGCCCAGGAAAGCCAGGAGGAAGCAGAGCCCTTCACCACACTGCCCGAGGCGGTCCGTGGTGAGTGCTCCATAGACAGCTGGATCCTTCACTTCCAGAAGAAAAAACAGCTGCAGGTTCAGGCAGTTTGAATGTTCACTTAAGAAAGTGGAGGTTCAGGGAAGGTGGGGCCCATCTGTAATCCCAGGAGGTAGAGGTAGGTAGAGCAGAAGTTAAAGGTCACTCTCAACTACAAAGCAAGTTCAAGGCCAGCTGGTGTCACAGGAGACCTTGTCTCAAAACAATATATTTTTTAGCAGGCAGGAAGCCCTGGGCTCTATTCCCAGGGGCAAAAGAAAAAAGTCCACAAATAGATGAAAACTGCTATATAATTTGATAAACTTCAGTCAAGTTTCAGCATTTATAGATAACTATTCCCAAAACCCACCCAGCGTGATGGTGACAATGGAATGACTGCAATGCTGGGGGCCAAAGATATGAGTCTTACATCAGCCACAGTCAGCTAGGCCTAGAGGACTTTGGCCCTATTTCTTTCCAGCAGTTTGGAGGAGAAAACTGTGCTAATGAGAGGCTCTCCCAGGCCCCTGCATGTGGTGTGCAACCAGACCCCTCTGCCTCTCATGGGGGTTGGGTGCTGCCAGGTAAACCCAGAGGCAGCCAAGGCGGAGCTGAGCCCATTTCCTTTCGCTCCAGCTGCAATTACAGCTGTGCTGTGATGGATGAGGTTTAGGAAGAGGACTGGAGAACAAGGCCTCCAGAACCCCTCAAGGCATTACAATTCCACGAAACCTTATCTGGGCTGGGCTTCAGGGAATAAGCGCACTGCTGTGCATTCGGGTTCCTTAACTTAAATACTGGGAAACTGTATTTATTTAAGGGAGCCATTTTCAAACCTTTCTTTTTGTGGTTCTGGAAGTGAACCCAGGACCTTACTTATGTGAATCCAAGCACTCTGCCAGTGGCTATGCTTTCAACTCTCAAACAAACAAACAAACAAAATTACATTTTAATTTATGAACTGTGTGTATGTGTGTTCGAGTGCATGTGCGTGTAGAGATCAGTGAACAACTCAGCAGAATTGGTTCTCTCTTCCCACCATGTGGGTCTTGGATCATCAAGCTCTATGGTAGATGCCCTTACCAAATGAGTCATCTGCTGGCCACAAACACCTTTTTTAAAAGCATCATTTGGGGGCTGGAGACATGGCTCAGAGGTTAAGAGCACTGACTGCTCTTCCAGAGGTCCTGAGTTCAATTCCCAGCAACCACATGGTGGCTCACAACCATCCCTTATGAGAGCTGGTGCCCTTTTCTGGTGTGCAGATATACATGGAAGCAGAATGTTGTATACATAATAAATAAATAAATAAATCTTAAAAAAAAAAGCATCATTTTGACAATACATGGCCACTAGCAGTGGGTCCAAGATCTAACTCTAATGCACAAACTGACTTAGTGGAGCCCATTCTATAAGGAGAGATACCTTGCCCAGCCTAGACACAGGGGTGTGGGGGGTGGGGAGGTGCCTTGGTCCTGCCTCAAAGAGATGATGGGACAGAGAGTAGACTTTCTAGGGGAGGCCTCACCCTCTCTGGGGAGCAGATGAGAGGTGTGTGGGGCGGAAGTGGGGAGAGCTGGAGGAGAGGAGGGAGGTGGAACTGGGATTGGAATGTAAAAATAAACTAATTAAAAAAAAAAAGGCATCAGTAAGATCTGTGTGTCACGTGGTGCCGGGATGGAACCTGAGTGAGTGCACACGGGGAAGCACTCTATTGTTCCCTGTAAAGGAAAGCTTGCACGGGAGCTTGCTGTGTTGAACAGCTAGGGTGAGGCACAGTGTCTGTCCTCTCTGCTACCCTCTTGACTTTACTGGGAGGGGGAGGAAGGGGAGGAAAGGGAGAAGCTTTGCCAAGACAAGGAACACATCTGGTTTAAAGGAAAAGTAAGCGAGCATTTAGATAAGTTCAGAAAGAGGTGGACTTGAGGACCTGCCACACGGTCGCTGGTGACACAGTGACGTGTAGTGTGAGAGTGTCTGAGGCAGCGGCTAAGTGAAGGATGGAGTGAGAAGCAGGAGGCTGTGTACAAGCTTCATGCATGCGGAGGGCACGCGGGGCAGAGAACACCGCTGCCATGAAGAGACTCTCCTTACTCTTAGGAAACATAAACTGGGATGTGTGGCCTACAGGGATATGGTGGTGCAACACAGTTCCAAATAACCGGGTGGGGTGAGGGTGGGGCAGTACGGTGAACACCAGCAGACAGTGGTTCTCAAACCGGGACCCCTGGAGGGGCACCCGGCATCCACAAACTGGCTGGAAATATAAGTGCTCGGACCACACCCCAAATGTACTAACAGCTGTTTAGGGGTGGGGCTGGCACTGTAAATTCTCTGGAAGTCTCCGGGGAAAAGGTCTGGGCACACACCATACAAACCTGAGTACGAGAGCCCAGCAATCTCTATGAAGAGGTCTTCCTCGGAGAAGCTTTCCGGGAGCATGAGGCAGGCGGCGGTCACCGCACTCTTCAGGTTCTTTTCCAGGGCCGATCTAAGCGTCACATTCTCACTCATTGACACGATCTTCACCTGGAAAGGGCAGGTTGAGGCGGGTGTGGCTCACAAACTGACTGTCCCCTCTGCCGGCCATCGAAAAGTTAAGAACACAAGCCCGGTGACATGAAGCCACCATGACTCTACAAGAGTGTCCTGTCTTTAGAATGACAACGTCAGAGAAATTGTGAAAAAGCAAAGGATCATGATTTTAAGGAGAATAAAAATTAATATTCTTATTAAAAATTATTTTATGTGTGAATGTTTTGCCTGCATGTAAGTATGTGGACCACATTTATGCAGTGCCTGCAGAGGCCAGAAGAGGGCGTCAGATCCTCTGGAGCTGGAGGTGGTTGTGAGGCCCCAAGTGGTTGCTGGGAACCGAACCCAGATCCTCTGCAAAGAGCAGCCATTGCTCTTGGTCACTAAGCCACCTCTCCAGTTCCTAATATTCTTAAATGAGGACACTCTCACAGGATTTGGAAAAGAAAAAATGTTCTGGGAGGAATTGCACTTTGAAATTTTATAATTTCATTATTCTTGCACTAACTGTACTAGTGGAAGGTAGCATTTTACTTTTTACAGAACTCACTCTCTTCTTGACCATATGTAATCTGGGTAGTTCATGTTTTATTTTATTATTGCTAGATACATAGATTCATTCTTGACTAAGTAAAGAGAAACAAAATCAGCTATAAAAACAATCATGGAGCTAGAGAGATGGTTCCGTGGTTAGAGCACTTGCTGCTCTTCCAAGAGGGCCAGGATTCAGTTCCCAACATCCACATCAGGTGGCTCGAAACTGCCTGTAACTCCAGCTCCACAGGCTGACATTCACATAAACAAAATAAAAGAGGACATGAGATCTCATTAATTGTTGTGAGCCACCATGTGGTTGCTGGGAATTGAACTCAGGACCTCTGAAAGAGTGGCCAGTGCTTTTAACCTCTGAGCCATCTCTCTAGCCCCTTCTTTTTCTTCTTTAAAGACAGGGTCTCACTAAGTAACCTTGTCTGGTCTGGAACTTGCTATGTAGACCAGGCTGGCCTCAAATTCAGAGATCCTCCTGCCTCTGCCTTCTGAGTGATGAATTAAAGGGGTGTACCACTATGCTCAGCTCTTTGATTCTGGATATAGTTTTGTTATGTAGTCCAGGCTAGCCTTGAACTTGTAATACTCCACCCACTCTCTGTCTTGTACATGGTGAGATTATAGGTGTGTGCTACCTAAGGTAGGAATATTTGTAACACTCAAGTCTCATATACAGCAGGTGAGGCAAAGCCACTTGTTCAACAGAACCTCTCCTACCCTCATGATGAGAACATGATGGGTCCTTTCAGTACCCAGTGAGTTTAGTATCACTGCATTCATTGAGTAAGGAAACAGTCTAGAACAGCCAAAGGCTGAGCGATGAAGCAACAGCAATAACGAGAGTGAAGCCAATGCTAGATATCTAAGTTCTAAGTGTTTGATGTCTTCTTCATAGTTTCACTCAGGGAGGTACTTCTCATCTTGACAGACAGTTAAAGCAAAACAAAACAAAGAAAAAAAAACAAACAAAAAACAAAAACAAACAAACAAAAAAACAAAACAAACCCCCCTAAGGATGGATCAAACCCAGGGTCTTCCACATGCAAGGCACTTTATCCTTCAGCTATGCTCCCCTGCCCCCACTTTAAGATTCTAAAATAACTCCTATGCTCATTTCCCAACTTCCTTTAAACATTTGTGTAGGTGTGTGTGTGTGTGTGTGTGTGTGTGTGTGTGTGTGTGTGTGTGTGTGTACGCACACACACATGCTCACATGCCACAGTGCACATGTGGATTTGAGAGGACAACTTGAGGGAGTCCATTCTGACCTTCCATCATGTAGGCTCCAGGAATCAAACTTGTCCTTTACCTACTGAGCCATCTCCCTGGCCTCTTACTAGCTCTCTCAAACCTTGCATTCCATATGAAATCATGGACCCAGGAAGGTGACCTCCTCATCTCACTGACAGGGACACTGAGGGACAAAGTGGTTCTGCTGTTTCCAGAAGACAGACCAGGTCTAGTTGGCTCCTGAGTTGTCCCCTGTTGCCTTTCGACATCCAAATTCCCACTCTCATCCTTCTTAACAGGGCTACAACCTCTTTTGTGTATATTTCTGTGGCTTTTACAGAAACCCAGTGAAATCAGAAGCTATTTTTCGATGTGAATAACTAAAAGATGCAAAGAAATGAATAACCTTGGGCGTCTTTTCCTGGTTAACAAAATACCACTTGTTCTCTAAGAAGGCCCCTCTACTTGCATTGTCAGAGAGCAGTCTGCCTGCTATTTAAGATTAAGAGAGTGAAAATAAAAGCATCCTTACTCAAGGGGAAAATGTGTGGATCTGGTTCTCCAACGAAAGGTGAACTAGGACCTCGTCTCCGTAGCTCTGCTATTTGTTGTTCAGAGTGAAAAGCCAGTGAAAGCTTGGGGCCCTGCCAGAGAGGCCTGGGAAAAGAAGAAAGTCCTCAGACTTGTGAATAGCTATTTGTGCCTACTGGGAATGCTCTGACCTGGACTGCACAGACAGCATTAGCAATGCGGACTGCAGGGAAGAGGGGGTGATGCTTGAAGGGTCTTTCAAAAGGGAGATTTGTGAGCACCTTTCAAGCCAGGAAAAAAAGAGTCACACGAGGGACTCCAGTATAACACAGTACCAAGCAGAGATTCCTTGAAGTTCAGAGTGAACTTGTAGTTTCCAAAAACTCAGACTGGAACAGTCCTGTGACACTCAGAACCTCCCCATCTAAACCCCAGGTCTGCTCTAAGAGGTCACTGCTCAGGGCCACAAGGCTGGTTGGACTTGGTTTACCTGCTGGACTAGGGGCTCTGAGGACAACTGATGTGGGGTCTTATTTTTTTATTCCTTCAGCATGCAGAGGAGACTAGGCTGACTCCGAGTCATTAAATGAACGGCTCAGTCTTTGCATTTCAAAAGTGAGATGCCCAAAGGCTGGCTCACAGTAGTGCAGAGCCACAACTGGGGAACCAGGCCTCCGAATGACTCAGTCAGGCCTCTCCTATACCATTGGGATTCAGAATGTAAATCAATAAAGCTACAACTCGGAGGAAAACACCTAATCGTGAACTTACTAGAAACCACTCAATTTTATGCTTTATACAGATGGACCATATGGCATATAAATCCTTTCTCAAGAAAGCTCTTATTTTAGGGTTTTTTTTGGTCTGTTTCTTTTTGTTGTTTTTTGGTTGATCAAGACAGGGTTTCTCTGTAGTTTTGGAGCCTGTCCTAGAACTCACTCTGTCCACTAGGCTGGCCTAGAACTCACAGAGATCTGCCTGGCTCTGCCTCCCAAGTTCTGGGATTAAAGGCATGCTCCATCACCACCTAGTTCTATTTTTAGTTATTTTTTATTTTTTGAGACAGGGCCTCACTGTGTAACCCTGGCTGGCCTGAATGCTAGGTAGAGCAGGCTGGACTGGAATCTGCCTCCTGAGTGCTGGGGTTAAAAGCTTGTATCAACCTTCCTAACTACACTAAATATTTCAAATTCCATGATTCTTTACCAGAAAAACATCTTGTTATAGAGCTTGGGATATAGCTCTTTGTTGGCCTTCTGGGTTCCCTGCCCTGCGCTGTGCATGGGTAGGCAGGCACGCACCAACATTAACCACTGAGATGGCAAGTGACTCAGAACTTAAAGCTAGCCAGGAAATGAAGCTAGGTATCTTTTCAACCATGAAACAAGCTGACAGAGAAATGTGAAGTAAATTTTTTATTTAATTTTTTTTTTCTATTTCTGAGATAGGGTCTCACTTATGTGCCCCTGGCTGTCATGGAACTCACAGATATTCACCTGCCCCACCTCCTGAGAGCTGGGTTTTTAAAAGTATGCACTACCTTGCCCAGTGAAAGTGTAATAGAAGTATAATTTACAGTCAACCCTTTTTAGAAATGTCCATCTTTTCAAATCTTTTATATTCCTTTTGAGCATTTAGCTTGCTAGTGGGTGAGAAATCCCTTTTCAATTTGCAAGGCACAGACACTTTGGAAGCTTTAGACAATAAAATTTGATGCAGTATTTTTTTTAAAACATAAAGGATGAGGAGTTCACACATTTCATAATTCTTTCGAGACATTTGCTCATTTTCTTACAGAAGATGCCACCAACCTGTCAGCGTTGCTCAAGTGTCACAAGTTTTTGCTGCCACCTACAGGTCAAAAGTTTATCTGCGGCTCTTAATCAGGAGAGGCTGCCAGATTTATTCCTACAGGAGTGGGAGCCAAGGGGGAGGGGTGGGGGTGAGGGGTGTGTGGTGTTAATTTTTCTCAGTTACCGTCTTCAATGATTTATTCAAAAGATTTATTTAGTTTTAATTTGTATGAGTAAGCTTTGTGTCCATTTATGTACACGAACCGCATGTGTGTAAGTGCTCGAAGGAGCCAGAAGAGGTTGCCAGGCCTTTGCATCTACTGACAGCTGTGGCCACACCCTAAACTCAGGAAGATCTAGGTTTAATCCCTGGCATAACAAACAAACACGGAGGACATTTAGAATGTGTTCATTCTGTGACTTCACAGCAGTTTTGTTTGAAACAGGGTTTCACTGTGCAACAGCCCTGGCTGTCCTGGACTTGCTCTGGAGAACAGGCTGGCATTGAACTCAGAGATCTGCCTGCCTCTGACTCCCATGTTCTGGGATTAAAGGTGTGTGCCGCCGCCACCACCCAGCTAGCATTTTTGATTTCTAAAGGCTAGTTTTAAAAACTTTCTTTAAAGAGCTGAGGTGATGGCTCAGCAGTTGAGGACACTGGCCCAGGTTTGATTCCCAGAGTGCCCAGCTTATGGCAGCTCACAGTTGTCTATAATTCCAGTTCCAGGAGATCTGATGCCCTCTCCTGGCTTCTATAGGCACTGCATGAACATGGTGCAGAGACATTACATGAGGGCAAAACACCCATTTGTATAAAATAAATCTTGAAAAGTATAGTACAGAGACTATTGCTTTTTGATTCAGTCTCTTTTTACTTGAAAATAACAGACAGCCAAGAACACTGGGAGGGAAACAGCACTTTGTGTGTCTACTAAAAAAAACACTGCCCACCCTCAGGTGACTATCCTGAGGTGAAGGACACCCAGTCATTGTGTGAGGCATGCAGTTAGAGGAGTAGACACCAAAGACTAGGTGTGCTGGGCTCTAAAAAGCTGTGTTCTTTTGAGCTTGGAATCCTTCTTTCAGTTTCTAGGCAGGGCAGGATTGCCACCCCCATTCTACAGATGAGTTAACTGAGATTTAGGAACAAAATCCATCTATGCAAGTTCATATAAACGGCTAACAGTGGCAGAAAAGAACAGGACCTTTATAGTCATTTTATAGTCACTACTTGCCCCATCAAGCTACAGGCAAACAAAACAAAACAACCCACAAACAACCAATAAAAACAAACAACCAACCAACCCCCCAAAACAACAACAAAAAAGACCACCCAAATAAAATCCCAACAACCTTCATAGGTCTGGGGATGTCACCCCAGTGGCAAACCACCTGCTGATCACACTCTTGGGACTGGGCAGGTTGGTGCATACCTGTAGTCCCAGCTACTCTGCGGAACACAGCAGGACCATGTCTCAAGGAAAAGCAAAAACAAAAAAACAGGAAGAAAATTTGGTACAGAAAATATGTATTTACAAACTTTCAACTCCAGCAATTTGCTTCCTGTGGGGTTTTACTAGTTATAGGACCTTTGAATGATTTGTCTACTGTGATGGTTTAAAAGAAATGGCCCCCAAAGGCAGTGGCACTATTAGGAGGTGTGGCCTTGTTGGAGGAAGTGTGTAACTGTGGGGGTGGGATCTGAGGTCTTTTTCTCAAGCTTCACTCAGTGTAATAGTCAACTTCCTGTTGCCTGCAAGATGTAGCACTCTCAGCTCTAGTACCACTTCTGCCGCCATGATGATAATGAACTGAACCTCTGAGACTGTAAGCCAGCCACACCAATTAAATGTTTTCTTTATAAGAGCTGCCATGGGGGCCTGGAGAGATGGCTCAGTGGTTAAGAGCACTGAATGCTCCTCCAGAGGTCCTGGGTTCAATTCCCAGCAGTCACATAGTGGCTCACAACCACTTATAATGAGATCTAGCGTGCAATATAGGTGTGCATGCAGGCAGAACACCATATATAATAAGCAAATGAAGAAAAAAAAAAAAAGACTTGCCATGTCATGGTGTCTCTTCACAGCAATGAAAACCCTAAGACATCCACGACATAAAATTACTTCTTACGAATATCTGTGAAACAATTTCAATATGCCTGTTGCTCACGGACATTTACAAATGTTTCTCCTGGGACAGGGATTGATACTCAGCTGTAGGGTGTTTCAAACAGTCTGCATCAGAGCCTGGGCTCCAATCCCAGGACTCCCACACGTTCTAACTGAAGCAGAGATTCCAGCACACACAGGGATGACGCTACTTGTATGTGTTTACCTGAGCACATACATGTGTAATATGCATACATGTGTGTGACAGGCATACAAATGAGTCATACCGCTCTAAATACACAACCCTGGCCATGTTAATGAGCTGCACTACCACATTTAAAGTACAGGTTATAAGATGGGAGACTCTTGAGAGTTCACGTCCAGAGTCTCCACAGATACACAAATAAATGGAACAAAAAAGAAAACCACTACCCCCAGAACCTCATTGTGTTCACTAACACGACTCTTTGGACCTTGCTGTTTAGGATTTTGTTTTTGAAGATATATTTATTTTATGTGGATGAGTTGCATATATATACATGCAGGAGCCTGGTGTTTGGGGTCAGAAGATGGTTTTGATTCCCTGAAACTGAAGTTACAGATGGTTGTGAGTAACCATGTGGGTGCTGGGAACTGAAGAGCACGTGACTTCACCACTGAGTCATCTCTCCAGCTTTCTGTTTAAGGGGGTCTGTTATCTGAACATGCCCAATGAATTCACAGCCTTTTCTGGTAACTCCCTCACCTTCCTGGAGCTGGGGAGCTCTCTGATTGCACGGTTGGTTCCTCTGGTAGTCAGCCCTGTCCTGAAGCTAAGCAGATGCTCATCCAGAGTCTCAGGGCCTGGGACTGTGGCTCATTGGTGACAGCCCTTGCCTCTTTGTTCCATCCAGAAGTCCAAGGGTTTTAGGAGTCTTCTGCCAGAAGCTGGGCCAAAGCCCACTATGTGCCTTACACACATATTACATACACAGAGATGCATCACACATATTACATACACAGAGATGCATCACACATATTACATACACACAGATGCATCACACATATTACATACACACAGATGCATCACACATATTACATACACACAGATGCATCACACATATTACATACACACAGATGCATCACACATATTTATTACATACACACAGATGCATCACACATATTACATACACACAGATGCATGTGCACACATTATGCACAAAATCTCCTCTTATAGTACAACATCACAGAGTTATCTGTGGGGTGATGAACTTCATGGAGGGTAAGAGGACTCCTGACATTTCCATTTCCTGGGATTTCCTATCTATGAGCTCACAAAGATCAAAGTGAGCTCAAATTCAGAGACAAGCGGCTGTGCTAACTGTGGTGGCATGAAGGACTGACTCACCGGCTTTTGGAGGCGTCCAGCAATATACAGATTATTCCAGTTCAGGAGGTCATCAATTAGGGTGCCAGTGCTAATAACCCCATATTTGATAAGCTGCAAGAGAAGACATGAGCATGACAAAGAGCAAACCACCAGGCTGCGGCTTCCACAGGCAGAAGTGAGGGAAGGGCTAAGATCTTGTTCAGGAACAGGATGCTGATCTCCTAAGCAACTTAAAATACCTACCCTTCAAAAACCCACATCTTGCTGGGCATTGGTGGCACACACCTTTAATCCCAGCACTTGGAGACAGAGGCAAGTGGATCTCTAAGTTCGAGGCCAGCCTGGTCTACAGATTGAGTTCCAATCTCTATCAAAACTGCCCAGAGATTTAGTGTCAAGACTGACCTGGCTCCCAAGGTACAGGAAGTGAGGTGGCCAGTATTTTTAACATATAGGATTATTAAAGGCAGAATGGCTCTTAGATACCAGTTAGTATCAGTCCTCAATGCTAGATCCTTCCAATTTCAGAAATGATGATTTAGGTAATGTTCCTCATTTGAGAAATAAGAAACTAAGTGCCAGGGGCCAGTGAAAGGGCTCAGTAGGTAAAGCTGCTTACAGTCAATCCTGTAATGACTTGAGTTTGACCCTAGAACCAATAAGATGGAAAGAGAGAACTGAATTCCACCAGTTGTCTTCTGACTGAATCTCTTTATTCTCTCCCCCCGCCCCTCACACACACACACACACAGTAAATGTTTAAAAAAAAATTGAGGTTCAGCAACAGCAAATGACAGGTCAGTGTCACTGCACCAGTAGATTGTGAGATTTGTCCTGTAGCTGGGCACAGTAATGCATACCACAGGCTTGCTATCCCAGATCCTGGTGGAATGAATGCTAGATTGTGTGAACCCACGAGTAGTTTGGGGACAGCCTGGACAGCAAAGTGTTTCAAATAACAGAAAACCTGGTCTTCCCACATTCTTTGTATTACAAAATAGCAGAAATTCTTCTTCAATTACAAGATTTCACTGGCCTTTTCCCCACAGTGACTTTCAGTGTTGTTGACTCCTTTAAATGGTGACAATTACAACTGAACATCGGAAGATGAAAACCCTCTCATCAGTGCTAAGCACGTGGGATTACAGGGGAGGCCATTTCCATATAATTTGTATAAACCTCCAATGTGGATTTCCTAGCTTACTTACCCTTACATTGTGTCAACAAGGATCTAAGTAGCCTTTCCAGGCTGCAGATATTTAAAAAGTAGCTAACGAATTATAATGAAAAAGCCTTGGTGGCACACGATCAGGCATAAACATTTGGTTACTAGAGCTTATAATGCTGTTTGGAAATTACTAGTCAAAGACAGGCTTGGCAGAGTACTAATTATGAAGGAAGAACCAAACATTGGGCTGTCATGACAAAAGGGGAAGCAGAAGGCTGTGCTGCTTCAGACAAGTGACAGCTAGGAGGCCCCAGGGTCACTGCAGGCCTGGGAATTCAGGGGCCTGTCACTAGATAGCAGCAGGACCTGTATAAAGCAGGTAGGTACACAAAGGACCAGAAAGCCTGTGCATATCTGGGCATGGTGGCACACACCTTTAATCCCAGCACTCGGGAGGCAGAGGCAGGTGGATCTCTGAGTTCAAGTCCAGTCTGGTCTACAGTATGAGTTCCAGGACAACCAGAGCTACACAGAGAAACTGTCTCAAAAAACAACAAAAGAATAATAAAAAGAATAAAAGAAAAGGCATGACCTAAAGATTACGAAGACAACACTGCACAGCCACACTGATGACTTCTCTGCCAAGCTCAGACAGGTCCTCAAAAGGGCCCTTCTCATTCATTACACCAACCTCCTGCCCTTTACAGACTGGTCTTTGACCAATTGTAAGATCATTACCTGGGGGCTTGTCAAATATGCAGAATCTCAGGTTCCATCCCAGACCAACTGAATCTGGACCTGCATTTTAACACGGTTCCCAGGAGACTCACACACCTGTAAAGGTCAGACTGCCCTAAGCAACTGGCATTAGCATCACACAGGCAAACCCACAGGTCGTCCTTGACTCATTTTCTACCTTCCATCTCCCCAGCAGCCCTCTGAGAAACTAGGATACTTCATTTAGTTTGACCCCTCTCAATGCCAGGGTACAAACCCAGGACCTAGGCAAGTGCTCTGTCACTAAGCAACAGCTATACATAGCCAAGGCCTGAAATACTATGTATATGTAGGGTTCCTGACGTAAGACAATCTATGGGGGGTTGGTGTTTCTATACATCTTACCTGGCCCCTAACATGCAACTCTCAAATCCTACCCACCCGCTGACACCAAGAACTTCCCTTCCATCACTCGACACCACACATCCTCTTCATTCCTGGTAGCACCTGCTCCTCCTTCTAGAGAGAATCACTCTCTATCCTGCTCTTCAGTGGCCCCACTGCTTCTCTATACCGCCCAGACAGCAGTCCTCAAAATGTGAATGAATCCCTACCCAGGACCCACTAAGCAGTGTGGCCAAGAGATTAAGACCTGAGAACTACTTGGCCAAAGGTCAAGAGATAAGATAAAGTCCAGTCACTGGCAGCCATTTTCTTATACCTGACAGATCAAGAGTAGTTCTGTCTATGCCTTGGTTTAAGAAACCTGGACCAGATGTGACTGTTTCCTGAGAATGTGGACAGATGGATTTCACCAGGATTCTACTGCCAAATTACAGCCACCCAGTTAGGGCCAAGGACTGGAGGCACTCACCTTTCCGTCACACATGATCAGCGGGTTGAAGTAGACCCCGGCACCAAAGTTATTCTGGACTGAAGCGATGATCCTGGGCCCCAAGAGTTTGAGGAAGGAGTAGTGGCTCCAATTCTTCTTCAGGTTCTTTTCGTGCCAGGAGACAGGGTCATCTACTGTGAACACCAAGTCTAGCATGGGATTCTGGAAAGTGAAGGAACAAGAAAGTGCTAAGCACTAACACTTAAAACACCAGAGAAACAACAGAAAATTCTAAAGTGCTACAATACTACCTGTCATGAAGACCCGGGGCCGTCATCAGAAACCTGAGCGGGTCCCACAAATCAATGCTAACCTGGCTTTCATCCATACAAATGATTACATCACACGCTCACTGCGTGTTTCCGTGCCAGCACTCATCCGATTGTTTGACATACAATGAGGCAGTTTATCTCCACAAGGCAAGTGACTCCAGCTGTATAGGGAAGGAAATGAAGGCCAGGGAAAGCCCTTTGCCCAAGGGTGTAGAGTCCAAGGGTGGCAGACCCAAGGAGAGGTGGCTCAGTGGTTAAGAGCACTGGCTGCTCTTGCAGGGGGTTTGAGTTTCATACCCAGCACCCACATCATGGCTCACAACCATCTGCAACTCTAGTTTCAGAGGACTGATGCCTTCTTCTGACTTCTGTGGGCACCAAGGCCTGCATGTGGTCCACATACATTAGCGTGGGCAAAATACTCATACACATAAATAAATCTGAAAAAATAATTTTAAAAATTAAGAAAAAAAAAAGCTCTGATAGGTTTCAGGACAGAGATCTCAAGAGCCTACTACTGCAGATAGACAAATTATGCCTAAAGTGACTCTACATAGGAACAAATACTAAATCAACATCACTTAGAACCTGTTAGAACAAGAGAATAGGGAGGAAGGATTTTTCTTGGACGGACATGTAAGTTCCAGAACATAAGAGAGGAGCACAGGATGGAGAAGTAACCCAGGAAGCATAGAAAAAGGTAGTCAGGTTAGAGGAAACCGCTTCCCGGAGGCTGGTCAGCCAGGCGTGCTCCAGGAGCACAGTGTAACATAGTCATGGAACCAAATGCAACCAGGGTGATTTCCCACACTACAGAATTTTCCAGAGTAGCTGAATGGAGGGAGGAGAGGTAACAGGAGGAAAATCTGACAGACAGCAACTGAAAGATTCCACTAAGAAACAAAATGGCATCATTAGCTAAGGCACTGAGTGGAAGAACACACCAGACTCCTTAGCATGAGCGTAGAAAATGGAAATGAAGAAGCAAGAAGGACCCTTTCTAGGAGAGAATCCTAGATCAGCTCAAAGAAAACCTCATGGAGTACAGGGTAGCTTTCAGGAGGCTAAGGAATGCTACAGGTTTCCCAGGGCACCCTCAAATCAATGGTGGTATTATTTAAGATTTGGAGGTAACATGGATAGAGCACTGTTCTCTCTCTCTCTCTCTCTCTCTCTCTCTCTCTCTGTGTGTGTGTGTACACAGATACATGAGTCCACGTAGTATTTGCAGGTCACAGGATGCTGGGTTTCACTCTCAGGTGCCATCCACTTTGTTTTTCTGAGATGGTTTTTCACTGGCCTGGAGCTCACTAAGTAGTCTAGGCTGGGAGCCAGCAAGCCCCAGAGATCCACCTGTCTCTGCCTCCCTAAGGCTGGGATTACAAGTGTGGACCACAGTGTCTGGCTGATGGACAATTGTAAAAAGTAGTAATTATGATAATGTATATGCAGCTAAGTTAGAGAAAATAGGTAGGAGACAGAAGAAATTCAAGCAACACCAGGAAGCGAATTTTAACCAGAAAACAGATCTGGCCAGGTGGTAGACCCAGGATGCCCTATTGTAACCTGTACACTTAATTCTGCAGACCACATTAAGATTTGTACTGCTGTTCTCAGTTGACTCTGAAAAGCAATAAGGCTCAACCTTAACTAGACTCTTGTTAAATGTGTTGAGCCGCAGTGTCACCTGCCCTGGCCCAGGAATCATTTTGTATTTTCTTATCTTTAGAGTCACACGGCCCAAGTCCAAGCCAAGGGAATCAACCTGTAGACAAAACCATTCTTTGTATTTCTAAAAAAAAGCACTAGAACACTCCAATGACAAAGGCTGAAAATGAAAACACTTATGTAGGATCGGCTACTTTTCTCCACCACCTCTTCCTAACAGCCCCGCCCCCCCCCCAGTAGATTGAAGTAAATAGACTACTTATTCTTCGCTTATCTTATCAGCTCAGGCCAGTGAGATGGCTCAGCAGATAGTGGCACTTGCTGCTAAACCGGATAAACCGAACTCAATCTTCCCAGGACCCACGTGGTGCAAGGAGAGCACCAACTCCCTCAAGTCGTTCTCTGACCTTCAAGTGTACGCTGGTTATGCATGTGCATTTGCCACAAAACCAGCAAATAAGTAAACGTAAACATATATATTTACTGGGCATGGCAGCGCAAGCCTTTAATGCAAGTACTGTGAGTTCGAGGCCAGCCTGATGAATTCTAGCTTGTCAGTCCCGACTTGGAAAACCCACTTCAGCTCACACAGAGGTCACTTTGGTAGGCTGAAAATTTTACTAGTTAGCACTTGGCGTGTCCGGGGCGGAAGGAACATGGGAACCGGTGAGGGCGAGCAGGCGTCAGGTCTAAGGCTGGTCGGGAAGGCGCACCCTGGGGACTCACCTCCTGCTGTGCACTGGGTCCCGCCTGGCGGTACACTGCGGAGCCGTAGGCGAAGGCCAGGCTCAGGTTCTCGGGGAAGTGAGCCAGGATCCTGCGCAGGCCCACGCCCGAGCTCTGCAGCGCCTGCCCCGCCATGGGCGGGCGGACACGCCGGTAGGGTAGAGGGTGCAGCACCTACTCCGTGCTCGCACTCCGGGTCGTGAGGACCGCGCTTCCGCCTGGGCCCCGCCCCTCCACGCATGCACGCTACAGAGCAGGCCTCTGGCAGCCAGCGGGAAGGCCAGTGCTCTATCGCGCCCTCTGGCTTGCGGAGGAGCGCACTTCAGGCCCACTGTGGGACTGCTAACTAACCTGCCTTAGAGCCTTGCAAATCCTATGTAGTAATCAATCCACGAACGATTCTTTTTTAAAAGAATTATTCATTTATTATGTATTCATTGCTCTGCTTGCATGCATGCCTGCACGCCAAAAGAGGGCACCAGATCTCATTACAGATGGTTGTGAATCACCATGTGGTTGCTGGAAATTGAACTCAGGACCTCTGAGAGAGCAGTCAGTGCTCTTAACCTCTGAGCCATCTCTCCAGCTCCCACCCCGCCCCCTGCCTTTTTTTTTTTTTTTTTTTTTGTATTTTCCACGAATGACTTTTAAATCATGAGTATATTGTGTAAGATTTTTTTTTTTTTTTTGAGACAGGGTCTCATTATGTAACTGGTCTGGAATTTGCTGTGTAGTTAGGGCTGACCTCAAACCCACAGCCATCCACCTGCCTCTGTCTCCCAAGATCCGGGATAAAGGCACGGGGTTATACATTCACAATCTTGTGCAGCTATCATTTCCAACTCTAAGTTGTAGGAGATTTTGAAGATTTAGGAAAAAAGTTTAAAACATGCCCACCCTACCACCAGGAGATTGTGATTTTAGAAACTGGCCATGGTTTCTTCACATTAAAAGTCCATTTTCACATTAAAAGTCCCTTTCAAGTCTGATAATAGATAAAATGCTCTATAAATGTTGGATAAACATTCCCTTATGTTTTCGTTCAATTTTAGGATCAGAGAAGAGTCTGTGTCCCTTTGGGGATGGTCTCACAAAGGGCTCTTTAATTTACATGCCTTTTTCTGGAGAAAATGGGATCTGGTAGAAGATACCATAGAGTTTTTTACACCATGGGAGAAACTTGCTCAAGCTGGCAGGAGCCTTCAGGACTTGGTTGAGCTCCCAGACCCTTTGAGGGTGTGCTTTCTTCTCTAACTTGCACTCTCTCTCAAAGATCAGCAAGGCCACCAGCAGTCCAAGCTGCTTGTGGGGCTAAGACGTGTGTGTGTGTGTGTGTGTGTGTGTGTGTGAAAGCTTTGGCCCCATAAGTTTTAGGTTGGACTGAGATATCCTGAAAGATCCTGCTATAAGGGAAAATGGCAGCAAACGATTAGGGCTGGGTGGTGTGGCTCAGTGCTAGGGAGGTTGTCTAGCATGCTCAAAGCCCCGAGTTCCATCCCCAGCACAGCAAATAACAAATTACCAACTGATGGGGCTGGAAGAGTGGCTCAGTGATTAAGTTCCCAGTACCCACATGGTGACTCACAACCATCTGTAACTCCAGTTCCAGGAGATCTCATATCTGATGTCTCTTTCAGTGCTCTGAGGGCACCAGGCATGCTTAAAGCATACATACATGCATGCAGGTGATTACACATACACACATACAAAATAAAAATTTAGAACAACCACCCCAACTAAGGGGGTCGGGGAGAGGGTACAGCTAGAAAAGTGTTTATCTGTGCAAACATGAAGACCTGTGCTTAGATGAGAACCCTGTAAAGCCAGTTGTGGAGGTCCGAGTCTGTAACCCCCAAACTCCTATGGGGAGATGGGAGTCAGAAACAAGGGAACAGCTTGAGGGGTGGCTAGCCTGTGGTACACTGGGGGATCCTGTCTCAAACCTGCACTGGAGATTGTCCTCTGACTTCCAGGTGTGTGCTGTGGCACTTCTGCAAGCATGAGTACACACACACACACACACACACACACACACACACACACACACACACACACACACACACCACACGAGTAGTAACACTATCTCTATCTTACAGGTGAAGCTCAGGAGAGAACAACCTGCTTGAACATAAGTGTATGGTCTCAGGTCTGGACACATGTCAAGGTCTCTCTCATCCTAGTCCATCCTTGAGGGGTTTTGATCAGGGACCCAGTGTGCTCAAATAACCAGTGAGAAGAAGAGGCAGGAAACTGAAGACCAGCTCTTGCCACAGGATCACCATAAACTAAATAAACAATGACCAGGCCCAGCAGGGCTAGGAATAGAGGCAGGAATAGCTCAGATTCATTCAACTGAACAGACAGTTACTTGGATCCACAGTCTCCACACTGCTGTGAGGTTGGTGCTGAGAAATTTTCAGTGAACAGATTAGAGCCGCTGGGCAGGAACCCAGGGTCTGTGGCAGACAGACAGTTAAGAAACGAAAGGTGGCAGTAATGCAGCAGGCACCCAGTGCTTCGAACGGACAGCATATCCTTCCAAGAAGGAGACATGAAGCAGCTCTGGGGAAACAGAAAGCCAGCAGAGGAGGAAGTGCAGGCCACAAAGCCAGGTCCTGGAATGGCCTGCCAGGTGTTTGGCAGGAATGGGAAGTCAGCTGGATGGAACCCAAGAGTGTAATTTCAGGAGCACTGGCGTGGAGAGGGAGTCAGGAGAAAGGCAGAGTGAAGACATGGGGCTTCAGGCTCCCTGGGTGGCAGCAGGCATTTCGATTCACGCTGAAGAACCCTCACCCTTGCCCAGATGGCTTGGATCTGAGATGCACTCACCGTGGAAGTGCACAGAACCTTCTACCTAGAGACGAATGAACACTGTTTCCAGCTGTTTCTCATCTGCTTTCTTCCCTTGAGAAAATAATTCACTATTCCTCCCACCCCTTCATTGGCAAGAGTAATGCATGCTCATAAAAATGTAAACATTACAAACCATGCATCTCATCCCCTCTGAGGTAACCACTGGTAGTTTTCAGTACATATTCTTCCAGATATTCTTATGAATATATTAACATTAAAAACAGTTTTAAATGGAATTGGTGATGGATATTATTTTTCAATTTACTTTTTTCCCACCACCTCACATATCAAGGGCATCTTTGTCAGAGTATATAGATTTACTTGCTTCCATTTACTAGCAGAGAATTATTCTAAAATATGGATATGCCATATTGATGGCCGTAGATTACTTCTTTCATTTTTGCAATCCTGGGAGTGCAGCACAGGGCCTTGCAGGAACCATCCAATAACGTCACACTGAGCCAAACCCCCAGCCCATCTCTAGTTTTCACACATGAAAATAGTGCTACAGTGAACATCTTTTTGGCTATTTCTTTAACAATGTTTTCATGTGTATGTGTGTGGGCACATACGTGCTATGGCATGCCTGTAGAGGTCAGAGGACAATTTGGAGGAGTTGGTTCTCTCTTTACCCAAGTGGATTCCAGGACTCGGACTCAGATCATCAAGCTTAGTGGCAAGTGCTCCTATCTGGTGGGCCATCTCTCCAGCCCTCTGGGCATTTCTTTTTGTACACGCCAAGTATTATATTGATGTGAAATTGATTCCCGGGACTGGCAGGATGACTCAGCAGGTAGAGGTGCTTGCTATGAAAGCCAAACAACCTTCGTTCAATTCCTGGAACCCACAGCCGGATGGAGGGAGAGAACCCACTCCACAGAAGGTGCGCCCTGACCTTCACACACACACGCTGTCACACGTGCATCCCCATATGCACAGCACACAGACACAAATAATAATAAGCAGCCTCTACAGAGCCCAGAGGTGGGATTGATGGGTCTAAGAGTGGGCACATTGCTAAATCCCCCTGCAAAAGACACACGAATTCACACAGCCACGGATAGGGCTCAGTCCCCGACAGAAATAAAGAATCTATAATGCGTCACCATTTTCCTCCCTTACAGGCTCTTACATCTAATTATCAGTAATTTTCATTCTCCCAACACACTCCCTCCTGCTAACACAAAACCACCAGCTGGAAAGTTCCATCCCACTGCTGTGTGTGGTTTGCCTCTGCCTAGGCAGAAGCAGCAGCAGAGAACACATTTGTTTTTGTTTTTTTTTCCAGCAGAAACCTCCCTGCTCCCTTCAGCTCATCCGCTCTCTTCAAAATTACCGTGGCTCACTGCGTTAGGAGCTATTAAAAAGCCCTCGTGCTCGATCTAATAGCTCCAAGGTTCTATTGGAAAGCTCATGCCGATGAGATAAAAATGTTTGAGAGCCATTTCCAAAGATAAATGCCACTTGATTTCAGTGAGTGCTGGGCCTCGCTATCTAGCTTGTCTAGCAGGTGTCTCTGTGTTCCTCAACAAGGAGGATGCCAGGTTAGAATTTGCACAGAAGATTCACTCAGGATGTGTGTTAGTGCTCTGTATAATGTCTGTACCTTATAGACCTTAATTTTCTTTTCTTCAGTGTTTTAAAAGAACAAGAAAAATAATTGTGGAAAAAAATTCTGGTCCTATTATTCCTTCACTTTTTTTCTGTGATGTTGGGGTTGGAACCCAGGGCCTCACAGTCTGCTGTTGGGGTCTGGGGTGTTTTCAATCGAACCAGTTGTTTAGCCATCTGCTGACAAAAGCAGAGAGTGGTCTTGATCTGTCTTTCTTTTTTCTTTTTAAATAAAGGTGTATATCCCCCTTTTTTAATTTTTAAAAATCATGTGTGTGTGTGTCTTCATGTGTAGAAGAAACCACGGCCAACCTATCCAAATCGCAGTCACCCTGCCCAGGTGCCCAGGCCAGGGCAGCAGGTACTTCCTCCCTGAGCCACGCCTGCTTCTACACCCAGAGACTGCTGATGAAGAAACACCTGACCCAGACACACCAAAGAGGAAAGGACAATGCAGCAGAGTCAGCCCCCTGAGCCATTGGGACCTTGGGAGTGGGTATAAAGGCAGGACTAATGTCCTTAATAAACGAGTCTGCAGCACACTCTGCTACTCACTGCCAGTTCCTGAGTCGTTGGTGCTGCGTCTTCTCACTCCCTTCCCCCAAGGGGTGTCAGAGCAGGGTAACCCGAAACATTCATTATATATATGCCCTTGGAGGCCAGAAGAGGGCTTTGCATCCTCAGAAACTGGAGTCATAGGCAGTTGTGAGCTGTCTAATGTGGGTGATGGGTTCTGAACCTAGGTCCTCTGGAAGAG